TTCTGGAGTCTTAGAGAAAAAAAATCTACGTGCTTTTATTGGACCTTCTTTTTCACAAAAGCCCTATAATTTTCAGCATATTATATTTTATAGTTTCAAAAGCGCAAAAGATTTTACCTGACTTATCGATTCTATCAATTAGGATACTTTACACCCTATTGTAGAAGAATTGGTTATATAAATGAGTTTGAAGAATAAAATTCACGGGTGACGTTTTAATTAACACAAATTTCTAAAGTTTGAGATAAAAATGGACTGTAGACTGCAAATATAAATAAAAATATAAATAAATAAAAAAATTCTTGGTGGAATTTCGTAAAAGAAGTAATCAAACAAGCGCATATAGACGTATAATTTTTAATTAGAGCGAAGTTATAGGGTTGGTAACTACGTGATTGCGGATTTTATTGATAGATGGCTATAAACATTAGTTTTGTCACATTGGCAAATTGTAAGGGTGCTGCTTTCCAACAAAATTTAAAGCCCAACACATCTTTGATCATTCGCCAAGAAATATTGGAGCTAGGGCTCTGAAATGTGTTGCCACATTGATCGTATAGCATTGCCTTTGTGCTTTTAGATCAGGGCCGGATTAAGCTGGGGCTTGGTGGGCTGGAAAGTCGTAGTTTCTATGTCTTGAAAGGGTTCTTCAATTTTGGTACTTATATTTTTCATATTATACAACATTCCTAAAGGGGCCCCAAACTGTTTTTAGTCCCAGACCTTATTTTTTTTTTTAATCCGTCCGTTAATCAGTATTGATCCATATGCAGAACTATGCAAGTCAATGAAAAATAGGCGAGATAGGTTGGTTGGATCCTTCTCAGGAGTGAAGGGCTAATTAGACACATATTACAAGCAGAAACAGGAGTTAAGAGGAGTAGAGACAGATCTACCTTAGATTACTATTCATAAATAGTTAAAGATGTGGGATGTTCTAGTTTAAAAAAGATTGGCTCACTTTAGGATAGAGTGGAGGTACGTGTTCAAACGGTCTTAGGATTATGATGTAAAATCTCATTTATTTAATCCAAAAATCAGAAGTTTACGAACACGTAATGAGCAAAACTGCCTGCAAAATGGCTCATCAACAAAAACGGACAATAGCTAATTCAATAAAGTTATATTTTCGCGTAAAAATTTTGAATTTTCCTTCTTATACCGTATAATTCTGCAATAAAATAAATAAGAATAATAATAATTCTTTTTGCGAAATTCTAACGAAAAATGATTGTGTTGATTATTCGTTGAGTAGTTGAGTTTCGATTTTAACCGTCGATTTTATTGAAATAGCACAAATAATATGGATTTCATATACCAGAAGTAATTTGAAATTGAATCGAATGGAATACATATTAACAAAACAGCAAATGCCTACGTTCAATTGCCAATAACCTTTGTTTCGCAATTAATTAATGCGGGGTTTGTTTAGTACGTCCAATTCGCGACTTTTTATCGATTTTACTTCTGTTTGCGTGTACAAAATAATAATTATTGTTTTCCATTATACAGGCGAATATATACATAAATATAACTGCTTACCTTCGGTGCTCAAAATGAATTAAAAAAGTAATTTATATTCCTTTCTTTGTCAAAATAATTTTCTATTCATTACAAATTAACATGTAAGAAATTGATTCTTGGCTAGGCACTTGGTGAAACATATTTAATAAGATATACGAAATAAAACACTTGGTACACTTTTGTTTCACAGTTTCGGCTGCTACGCCATTATCTCTTTGATAACGGCTTAGCAGCCGAAACAATTGTTAGAGTGTTCCAAATAAACTGTGAAACAAAAGTGTACCAAGCATTTTATTTCTTATAACAAATTAACAGTAGAAGAGAGGCATTTTAGGTACTTCCTTCAATAATATCCGAATGATAATAGCGGTGGTAGAACACAAATTTTAGTGATTACCAACAAAATTATATTTAAAGCGGTATTACATTATTTCTTAATTAGTTTAACCATTTTAAGTAAGACGTTCCTAGGGTACGACACCTAATGATTCTAGCACATCCTATTTATGACGCTGTGACCGAAGTTTGACATTTAAACGTTAAAAAATTGGTGATTTTTCTTAAAAAATTCGATTAAAAGATAACATCAAGAAAATTGAATAGATAAGCCTTTGATACGGCTACAACCATTATTTAGACCTTTATCATTAGAAGCCAGCAGCGTAATTATGTGTGCGTCAACTACGATAGAATCTACGACCTAGTCTAGGAATTTTCATAGTATTTTTGCACGTGTATGTCAATAGACTGAAGGAGATACAATCTCATAAGCCCAAGCTCTCAATCATTCGATAATTCTAAATTTTATAATTAATTTTAAATTGACAAACAGACGACGACAGGCACTCAAGTTCTGAACAACTCTATACTCTAAAATTTATTAAAAAAAATGGCAAGGACATAAACACTTGGTTCTGCCCTTTGTTCGTGATCACTTAATGAGTATAATGACGTCAACAAGTACGATTAGCATACGGCATTTTATTCTACATTGTATTTGTACTTACTGTATCATTAAAATTAGTGGAAAGTACACATTAATGTTGCCCATTACCGATGAAACACCCGGTATATTAGTATGATTTATATTCAACTGCCGCAATTAAAATGTAATAAAATAATGTCAAGTAAAATACCTAGTACATTTATTTCTGCTCAGATTTGTTTTATTTTTACAAATTCGGATCCAAATTGTAATTTTTTATAATTTTTGTTTACGAAGCAACAGTTTAATGGGATAAATTGTAGATATCGCTGTAATATTTAGGTAAATTTTCCTTTTTCATTTCTCCGTGAATACCATTAAAGTTTTTAAGGTGTTTTCCTCAACATTTTTACCATAGCACACATTTTAAGTTATATATATCTAAGATTGTTTTATACGTGATTTTATTCTGAATAAAAGAATTAAATTACACGTTCTTTCTCAACCAAACAAGAGTTCTTGACACAAATAAAACATTAAAAAATAACATAAACACAGTCAACTTGACCAAATCAAAATGAAGTTAAATCTATGATTATTTATATTAAGCTTAACAACTATCCCCAAGGTAGCAGTACTAACCAGAGGTTACA